TATGCATGACTCGTACAAAAGATGTATACTTGGTGTTCCTAAAGTAGAAAACAGTCCATGGAACAGAAAAAATATTTGCAAATGATACAGGAAAAAACTTTCCTGAAATAAAAATTTGAATCCAAAGATTGAAAGAATAGACCATAACCCAGGAAAAAACTGATACTGCTTGATCATGCCAAGGATTGCTAGTGTTTCTTACTATTCATGCTCCCTTTTTCCATAATAGTAGAGTAGTTTTAGCTGGATATGTGAACACCAGGAATAAAGACTATTACCCAGCATCCCTTGCAGTTAGATGGGGTCATGTGATCAATTTCTGCCTTGTGGGATGTAAGGGATTAATATGTGCAACTTCTAGGTATATACTTAAATGAAAGAAATGTGCTCTTCCCTTTCCCTTTTTCTATTAGCTAGATATGCATCTTCATCCATGTGAACAAGGGCAACACCCTAGGAATGGTGAAGCAACAATATAGAATGAGCCAGAACCCCTGATAATTTAATTAGAGCATTGCCACTATATGGTTTATATTGTTAAATGAAAAACAAATACATTTCTGTCTTTTAAAGTCACTGTTATTTTGTGTTTCTATCTGAATTTATATCCTAAATAATACACTGATTAAGGTTTATGTTGGTGAAGTTGTTCAATTTCAGAGATAAAGAAAGAATCTTAAGTGTACCCAGGTAAAAGAAGCAAGTCACATCTTAGGAGTCAATGTCAGTTAGTCTTAGACTTACCTCAAAACCACACAATCAACATCAGAAGACAAGGAAGCAGACCAGGCTAATGCCTGTAATCCTAGCACGTTGGGAGGCTGAGGTGGGAGGGTTGCTTGAGACTAAGAGTTTGAGACCAGCCTGAACAACAAAATGAGACTGTCTCTACAAAAAATAGAAAAATTAGCCAGGCATAGTGGCACGCACCTGTAGTCCCAGCTACTCAGTGACTGAGGCAGGAGGTTGAACTCCTTGAACCCAGGAGTTAGAGGTTGCAGGGAGCTGTGATCCTGCCACTGCCCTCCAGCCTGGGCCAGAGAGTCTGAGGCCCTGTCTCAAAAAAAAAAAAAAAAAAAAAAAAAGACAAACAAACGATATCTACAAAGATTTCTGTTTTGAAAAAAGAAGACAACACAGCACTGTTTACAAAGATTTATTTAAAGAAGAAGACCATGGTGATGATGAAGCAACGTCTATAAGGATTTATTTGAGGGAAAGAGTGACCCAGTAATTTTTTTTACCCAATTTGCCCTTTAAGTAAAAAGACACAGAATCTTTGAGGCATGCAAGAACTCATGAGACCTACAAGAAAAAAGACTACTCAGTAATGAAATCCCACCAGTGAAGGGATGACTCCAAAAACAAGAATGGAGAGGTCATGATAAAAGAATGACAGTGAGCACCAGATCAGTTTAAATATAGAACCAACCAGGCAACTGTGGGATTGTGGTAAAAGAGTGGAATGTAAATATCATTAACCTTTCCGGTGTGAAAATGATACTGCCAACAAAATGAGAAGGAGGAGACGAGGAGAGAGGAAATGGGAGAAAGTTCATTTCTTCGTGTTTCTTGGCTGGAAGTCAATAGATATTGTCTAAAGTTGAAATATATTGTTTTAGAAAATGACTCAAAACTCCTAATGTTATCCTTTTTCTTAATTTAAAGGGCTATTTTTAGGAAGCTGTATTTCCTGTTATCAAGAATTATTTTTTAAAGTTCAAGAATTCTCTCAGTTTTTCCTCCCGTTAAATGTTATGCTTTTGTTTTTAAAGAAAATATGTCTTAATTTTTGTAATGCTATTGTGGGTATTTCCATTCTCTGTAAAACTATGTCTTTGTTCCCTATACACACACACACACACACACACACACACTTTCTTTCATTCCCAATCTTATCTGTATATTTGTATAAGAAACATCTGGAATGATGGTTGCTAAATGTCAACAGTAAATTATCTCTGAGTGGTGGAACTTGGATGAAATTTTTTTTTCTTGAAAATTTTCTTCAAATTTTTATAATACAATAAAAGTTCATAATTAAGTGTAGACCCGGCTTGGAACATGCCAGATTATTTGATTTTCTGTTTATTCAGTATTAGTCTATTGCTATTTCAAGGTATTATGATTTCACAAATATTTGTGTAATGTACTTCATTAATATGTTCTTAGCCTTAAGAATATAATGATAAGTAACCCTTATAATAGTATTCTCTGGTTCAATTATATTGTAAATATAATTGGCTATAGTAAAAACATGCTACTAAGTCAATACAATGTATTTGATTATAATTCAGTATATTACAGTAGATGTACTACCTCTGTGTGATTTGAAAAGTGAAATAATTCCTTGCAGGAGATTTGTGTGCAGTACAGCCTCTGTCTTTGAAGAGATATATTTATAAACAATTTAGAAAAACTTTTGTATTTGTAACAAACTGAAATTTCCTTTTATTATCAAGAACTTTTGGCTGGGCAAGGTGGCTCAGGCCTGTAATCCTAGCACTCTAGGAGGCCAAGGCAGGAGAATCGCATGAGGGCAGGAGTTCCCAACCAGCCTGAGCAAGATTGAGACTCCCCTTTCTACTAAAAATAGAAAAAAACAATTAGCCGAGTGTGGTGGCACATCCCTATAATCCCAGCTACTCGGGAGGCTGAGGCAGGAGGATCCCTTGAGCCCAGGATTTTGAGGTTGCTGTGAGCTAGGCTGACGCCACGGCACTCTTGTCTGGCAACAGAGCGAGACAATGTCTCAAAATAAATAAATAAATAAAAGAACTTTGACAGAATGCATAATAATTTAATTTAAATTTCTGTACTGCTCAAAACTTAACCAAAATGGCTTACTTCATAATAAAAAGAAAATCTACTTATTCACACACCCACTCAAAATTTAGCTTAAAACTATTACAGTGGATGTTAATGGCTGAATGGAATTCCATCATATGAGTTTATTGGCAAATTCTCCATTGTTAGATAGTAAGGGGTCATTTCTAATTTGTTTGCTAGTATAAACAGTTTGCTAGCATCTATAATTATTTCTTGGTAGAGGCTTCTATAATATTATAATTGCTAGGTTCAAAGGGAATGTTTGCATGCGTTGCCAAGCTGCCTTCTAGAAAGGCCTGGCTAGTTACACATTCTCAGGGACTGCTCAGGAAAGAGAGTGCTTGTCTCCCCACGCCCTCACTATCATGAGGTGTTATTCCACATCACACGAACTCTGAACTTTCTTCTCGGGTGCCCAGAGAGATGCCCTCACTAATAAAGATTTAGACCATTATGTGTGCCCCTAGAGACTGGCTGGTGGGCTTAGGGCTTTGGACCTTCTAAAGAAGCCTGGTGCAACCCAGTGTCCATGTGAGTGACTTGAATGGACAGGTCTGGCCCTGATCCCCATGCTTTGCTTTGCTACTCATCTTCGATTTCCAACCCTGTACCCCAAACTCTGCTTCTGAAAGTTGGTCCACATAGCACCTACTGTACCTGACCCCACACTGTAGTGAAATGACATGGTTATTTTGTAGCCCTCTGCCCAGACATGAGTACCATAAGGATAGGAAGCACATCTGCCTTGCCCACCACTGAATTCCCAGAGCCAAAGACATTGCCAGGCACAAAGAAGAGGAGCCTGTGACAGACAGTGAGAATAGAAGCCACTGAGGACCAGGCATGGTGGCTCATGCCTGTAATCTCAGCACTTTGGGAGGCTGAGGTGGGAGGACTGCTTGAGGCTAGGAGTCTGAGACCAGCCTGGGCAACACAGCGAGACGCTGTTTCTACAAAAAATAAGAAAAAAAAAATTAGCCAGGCATGATAGCACATGCTTGTAGTCCCAGCTGCTCAGGAGGATGAGGCAGGAGGATTGGTTGAGCCCAGGAGTTCGAGCCTGCAGTGAGCTATGATCACATTACTGCACTCCAGCCTGGGTGACACAATGACACCTCTAAAAAGAAAAGAAGCAGCCATCTATTAACTAGATACCTCAGCATCTTCCTAGTTGTCTCCGCCTTATCTGACTTGTGCTAAGCCAACTTTGTCTCTCAAACCATTCCCTCTTGCCCATTCCATGAACTCCTCTGCCTAGTTCAGGTCCTTAATCCATGGCATGGCCCTCGAACAATTAGCTTGCCCCTTAGCCGGTAGCTTTGCTTCCCCTTCTGCCCCAGTTGTTTTTCCCTGCCCATTCTATGGTTTTCTTTTGAACATAAGGATCTGATTCTGTGATATCCCCGCTTATAAACTTTCGGAGCTTCCCATTCTCTCCAGAACCACCAACCTCCTTTCTATGGAGTTTTTGGGCCCTTGGCCATCTTATTTTGGACTTATGTTGGACCAGGACTCTGACAACTCTAATTTAAAGACACACAAAACCAATCCAAATTCCCCTATTGAATCCAGTTGTTCATGTTCTCTCCTGCACCTGGAATTTTTCCTCCTTCATTCACAATTTCTATTCTGTTTAAGGCCCAGTTTAATTGTCACTTTCTCTATGACTCTTCCCCTATCTCTCTAGACAGAAAATAGGAACTACTCGTTTCTACTCTCACAATTCTTTATTTTTTTTTTTGCAACAGAGTCTTACTCTGTTGCCTGGGCTAGAGTGCCGTGGCGTCAGCCTAGCTCAGAGCAACCTTAAACTCTTGGGCTCAAGGGATTCTCCTGTCTCAGCCTCCTGAGCAGCTGGGACTACAGGCATGCGCCACCATGCCCGGCTAATTTTTTTCTATATATTTTTAGTTGTCCAGATAATTTATTTCTATTTTTAGTAGAGACGGGGGTCTCGCTCTTGCTCAGGCTGGTCTCAAACTCCTGAGCTCAAATGATCTCCCGTGCCTCGGCCTCCCAGAGTGCTAGGATCATAGGCGTGAACCACTGCACAGGGCCTCTACTCTCACAAGTCTTTGTTCGCATCTTTATAAAGTGCTTTTTCTAATTGTATAATTATATAATATTCAGTTGATTACTCGTGCCTTCCTAAAAATCGTGAATTCTTCCAGGGCAAGGACTGTGTCATCTTCATCTTCGTCTTTCCCGGGCCCAGCAGCAGCTCCCACAGAGCAAGTGCTCCTTGCAGAAACTGCTAGCTGCCTACTTCAGCCTTGGTCATGATCCTGTTTCAGGTAGCAACACACCCATCTAAAAGACTACATTTCCCAGATTCCTTTGTAGCTAGGTGTGCCCATGTGATTAAGTTCAGGCCATGATAAATGGAGGTATTATGCGGCACTTCCAGGGAGGCCCCCCTAAAGTGGAAGGGAAATGCCTTTTTCACTCTTCCTCTTTCCTTCTACCTGGAATGCAAATGTGACTGCTGGAGCTTGAGAGCCCTGTGGAACAATCAGGGATCTAGAGTCCCCATGCCCAGAAAGGCTCCATACTTACCCTGATTTCCCAATTTACAGACTTCTTTTACCTCAGAAATAGAACATTTCTAGCTTTTTCCCCTGTTATATGCGGCCACACATAATCCTGACTGATTCAGTACAATAAATGTTTGGTGAATGTGGAATAAATCTAGAATCATGTGATTTCTATTTTGTCTTCCTACCAACACACTTGGAACGAGATTTAGCACTTCGCAACATCAATTTCTCATCACAGGTTTTTTGAAACATTCCTTTCTCTGACCCTTTTTTCTTGAGTTTTGGTCTGTCTTTATTTTGTAATCGTCTTTGTCTATATTTTGCTAATTTTGTAAAGTTGACTCAAATTTGTCTAAGAGGTAGGTGGGATATAAATCATTAAAAATTGGACTTGGAATTTAAAGTGTAGAAAATTAAAGCTGAAAGTGGAAAACTGGGGAGCAGTAGAATCACAGGTAAAGGCTGGAAACTTAGGGCTCCGTTCTCCCCGCAGCCCTTCCCCCAGGGGTTGCTATCCAGGGTTTCTCAACGTCTTTCACAGTGACACAATCAATCAGGGGCAGGGCACACCCCCCAAAGGAAGTGTAGTTTTGGGTGTGGCAGATACTGGTAGTAGGCCAGAGTAGGGGCGGAGAGAGGAGATGAAGAATAGGGCTTGTTTTATGGGTGTGGACTCGCAGCCAGGGGTGGGAAGTGACTAGCCAGAGACAATGTCGCTAACACATTAGCCATGATTCTTTCAGTTTCAAGTAATAGAGGAAAACCCTGAGGAGCCTAAGCAAAAAGGGGAAATTTATTACACAGCGGGTGATATTGCTCCTGGCACCCATGGAAGAGTTGTGGGTGCTATGTCTTCACTTCTTAATTATGGGGGGGGGTGATAACTGACTTTGCACAGATCACAATCTACACCCTACCACCACCACCCCATCCTCCCAATCATCCAAGTGGATTGTTTCCTTTCCTGCACAATTTACTATTAATATTACCTACAGAGTCATTAAATGTTTTGTTTTTCCTCTTCCTGGCTTTCTATATACTTATGGCTAATTCAGCCCCAAACTCTCCCCTCCCCCAAGAAGAGCATAAATCTCATCTCAATATGTTCAGATGCAATTGGGTGTTCTGTCAATTTCATCATCTTGAAGAAATCTCTCCCAGAGCCTTGGGCCTGATTGGGTCTGTACAGGCTGCTCTTTAGGTCTCACTTGGTCACCACCCTGGGGACTTATTGTCTGCACACATTTAATACTGGGGCACGCTATGATCATGCCACTGCACTCCAGCCTGGGTGACAGAATGAGACTCTGTTTCTTAAAAAATAAAGATACCCTTCCTCTACCATTTAGGGCCTGGTTTAGCCTTTTCCTTTTGTATTTGTGTGTGTCCAATTAAGAATAAATAAATAAACAAATAAGAATGGGGCACAAAAAAGCCAACTGGAAGCCCCCTGTGCATATGTGGGGCTTGTCAACTGGGGACTTCACTGTAGTGATCTGGCTGGGCCAATTCATTGAGAAATCTGGAATGGAGGAGGGCTATTCACTCACTAAAGGGTAACGGGGACCAGGTGAGGTGGCTCACACCTGTAATCCTAGCACTCAGGGAGGCCCAGGTGGGAGGCTCACTTGAGCTCAGGAGTTCAAGACCATTCTGAGCAAGGGTGAGACCCCATCTCTACTAAAAATAGAAAAAACTAGCCATGCATGGTGGCACTACCTATAGTCCCAGCCACTCAGGAGGCTGAGGCAGGAGGATCGCTTGAGCAAGGAGTTGGAGGTTGCAGTGAGCTGTGATGACGACACTGCACTCTAACCCAGGTGATAGGTCTTGATATAAAAAATAAAATTAAAAAAAAGACAATGGGGAGAGATTTGGTGTCTGGCTGCTTTTTAAATAGACATTTAATCAGACCTGCTGGTTCTAGGCCCACTTTTAAGCTTACTTCGGGTAGTATCTGGTGCCTCCAATCTCTAGCCTTTTGGGGGTTCTGTGGTATAAGTGGGTTGCTTCTTAGTTTTTCCCGCAGCTAGTTCTTCTAACTCAGTTATCACTGATTTCCAGCTTCCAAAATCCTGTTGCTATGTCTCCTCCCAGGTTCCCTTTGTTTTTATTCATTTATGCCTATTAAAAAATTCCTCCACTTTCATCTTTAGTGGATTCCAGGAGGGAAGTACTAACTGATGTCTTCCACCTTTCTGTTGTTGATTTAAATTTTACATAGAGAAATACATCTGATTCTTCTCAAACTCAAGTCCACAAACCCTGGGGAAGAGATACATTGGCCCAGTTTGAGTCAGGTGCCCCCCTGGACCAATTCATTCTGGCAGGAGGAGTAGAGCACCACGATTGGGCTGGGAGTAGATCCCGGTCCTGGCCAGGAACATTAGTGTACCTGGGTAATGGAGTCCCACGGTCGCAAAGATGGGGCAGGGCAGTCCCTGGGAAAGGGACTGGACAATTCCTTTGGATCTACTACAGCTAGAAAATAGTAGGTTGAAATCTAGGGGTTCTGGTTCCAAGTCCACAGCTCTTTCTACTCCTCCCATCCTGTGGGTAAGTTGTAAGAAGGGCAGAAATAGGGGGAGGGGACAGAGGAGGGAGGCCTCTCTGCTCCTAGGGGACGGGCAGAATGTCCACAGGAACTTCTGGTGCTCACCACTCCTAGATGGGATCAGGGAGAAGATGGGGCCCCTCTGTGACCGCAGGGATAATCCTATTTGGAAATAACATCAAGAGTCTAAGTTTGAGGCCTGTTATGAAAGTGAGACCCAGGCCCAACCATCCTCCTGTTTGCCACCTTACCCCCCTCCATGACAGGGCCAGAGTGGCGGCTATTTGGGACGGCAGAGAGAACATAGTCTGAGAAGCTGGTCAAAATGACCCTCTCCTGGGATTTATTTTGGCTCCATGGGTTGCCAGAGAGCTTCCCAAGTGTCTAATCCTCGGTCTTCTGCTCTTTTCTCTCTAAACAGGCTCGGCGCTTACATCTACATGGGAATCTCTAAATCCTCCACCTCCGCCTGACCTCTCTGGTGACCTCAGCCCCACACTTCCACCTGCCTAAGGACGGTTCCACTGTGCTGTCCCACCAAAGCTGGCCTCAAAGCTCAATGCTCCAAATTGACCTAATCATTCTTCCACCTCCCAGGCTTGACAACTAGGAAGTATTGTCAATTCTGGCCCCTCCCTTGGAACAGGACCCGATTAGTCACCACACAGCATAGTTCCCAGCTGCTGGGAATGGCCTTGACACTCGTCCCATTGTACCTGGCTGTGAGATGACTGTGGGTGTGACCTGACTCACAGATCAGGCAGAAGGAAGCCACCCAGAGTAAGCTGACATCAGGAGGGAAATTTGTCACAAACATCCAAAGTGGCCTGCTCTGGGAGGGCAACAGAGCCGAGCCGACTGAAAGGAAGTGGAGCTGTGATCAAGGCCAATGCCAGATCCCCAGAGGGAGAGTGGATCCCATAAATGGGGCAAACATAGGAATTGAGGTCACAAGCCGGGAGCAGCCCCGGGGACTGAGTTGGTGGGGGCTTGTAGGAGGGAGCACGGGAGCTCAGAGTGGCAGCTTCTGTGGACAAAGTGTGCTTGCTGGGGGTTGGGGGTGGTGGTGGGGCTGGTGTCCCCCCTGGAAAGGCCGGGCATGTGTTTTCTTGGGTGTGTTGTGGCCAAGCTTCCTGGAAATGTGAGCCCCAACACATGTCCTCCTTTCCATCGTCCCTCCCCCACCCCAGCTCGGGTGATCCCTTTCTTGCCTGAAATTTGGAAACAGTCTCTTTTTACCAGTGTCTCTACTGGGTATCAGAAAATTACACATCCGTCCTTGCAGCCTCCTGAGGACGAGCAACTGACATTTATTGCACATCTGCTCAGCCAGCTAGGCCTTTTGTGTATTTTATCAGATTCATCCTGGCAGCAGTACCTGGGATAGATGGCGAATGTGACATCTGTTCAGTGCCTTTAGTTTTTGTTTTGTTTTTCATAAACACTAACTCATTTGATCCCACGTAACCCAGTGACCTGTCAGAGCCCTATTTGGTGGATGAGAAAACTGGCAACACGAAAGATTAAACTGATTATCCTAAGCCACCCATACCCTCGTTACTCAAAGCGTGGTCATCGGGATCACCTGAGAGCTGCACAGATCTCCAGCTAGTCCCAGGTCCACCCAACCAGAATCTGCTTTCAACAAGGAGCCCAGGCGATTTGTTGGCACATGGAAACTGGTTGAGATAGCTGTTGGAGGAATCTGGGCTAGAAACCAGCCTTACATGGCTAAGTCTGCCTGGAAACAATGTTTGGCACAAATACTCCAAGGTCACCTGCAACTCTGAGATAAGCTTGGCCATCAGCAGGGAGTGAAACTGACAGAATCAGGGACTGGGTGGTGAGAGGAGGGGAAAAGGGAAGTTGAGTCAAGGGGCATTTGTGGAGGCTGTGTTGTGTGCACACTGCTGGGGCTGCAGGCACAGGGCGACCGGAGCTGGCCATGCCGGGCCATCAGGAAAGATTGCAGCCCTGCACACGGAGGCAAGCTCCGTGGTGTGGCAAGAGCAATTAGTGCTGGAGAAGATACAGTCCTCTGGCCCACGTGGAGGGCCTTCCTGAGAGGAGAGAGGAGGAAGGCAGGAAGGAGTAAGTGGGCCTGGGCATGGCGGGCCCTGCAGACTGGGCGGGTGAGTGCAGCCTGGTGGAGGGAAAGGGGGGGTGTTGGGTGGCAGAAAATCTGCAGAGGGCCTTGGCTGGAGAAGTATCTTCTCATTCTTCTCCCTCCCAGGGAAGCACCTGTGTTGATGATCTCCCTGAGGACAGCACAGCTTGTAGACCTGCTCCCAGCCAACTCTCAACATCCAGGACTAAGCCCTGCAGACCCCTTTCCCTCTCTTGCTGAGTCTCCAGAGAGCCACCACTTTTCACCCAGTCACTGGCCACTTGCCTAGGCAGTGATCTCTGGCTCCTTCCTATCTCATGACCTCCACCTTCTATTGCTTCTGCCGCCAGTTATCAGCTCTAAGTAGTCTCCCTGTTTCTGCTGTCTCCACCTGGCACTCAGGAATCTATGCAGGCTTCCTTTGGTCCAAATTCCTAAGCTTTTGTGCATAGCTCTCCACATTTTCCCCTTATCCTCTCTTACCTGTCACCCTCCCTCCCCACTGTCACCCTGCCTGCCTCCACCCCTGCCCTTAGATCTCCTTGTCCATTCCTGATCATCTGTCCCCTGCCTGGAGAGACTGCCTCTCTTTGCTTCTTCTAGCCAAAGCCTGCCTGTCTTTCTACGCCCATCGAGAACCCAGGAGTTGTGACTAGTAGCCTAGATTATAATGATTATAATGACATTATATTATATTGACATTTTATAATGTCAATTTGACAGATTATAATGACATTACTATGCACAAATGTCATAGAAAAGACTGGAATAAAAAATATATATATATATTTTGAGTCAGAGTCTCACGCTGGTGCCTGGGCTAGAGTGCCGTGGTGTCAGCCTAGCTCACAGCAACCTCAAACTCCTGGGCTCAAGCAATCCTCCTGCCTCAGCCTCCTGAGTAGCTGGGACTACAGGCATATGCCACCATGCCCAGCTAATTTTTTATATATTTTTAGTTGGCCAATTAATTTCATTATTTTTTTTAGTAGAGACAGGGTCTTCCTCTTGCTCAGGCTGGTTTCAAACTCTTGGCCTTGAGCGATCCACCCGCCTCGGCCTCCCAGAGTGCTAGGATTACAGGCGTGAGACACTGCACCTGGCCTAGAATAAAATATTAATAACAACATAGCAACTACAGTGTTCTCTGGATTCTGAATGATTGGTAATTTTTTTCTTTCTACTTTTTAATATATTTTTTATTTTCTAGGCTGAGCATGTGTTATACTATAATTGTACGAAGAAAAATTATATATTTTCTTTTTTTTTAAGCCCCAGTAAGGAAGGAGTGACTTTATTATGTTTTCTAAAGAATGGATTGAAGCTAGCTAGGGAGAGGCTGAAGGGCGGGATGTAGGTCAAGATGGCAGCTGCTGGGCGCATCCAGGTGGGGAGTGAGGGACTCGTGGTTGCCTTGGGAGGAGGAGAGGTGGAAAGCTCCATGAGCAAGAACAGAGAAGAGGGCCAGGCAAAGTGGCTCACGCCTGTAATCCTAGCACTCTGGGAGGCCGAGGCAGGCGGATTGCTCGAGGTCAGGAGTTTGAAACCAGCCTGAGCAAGAGTGAGACCCCGTCTCTACGATAAATAGAAAGAAACTAATTGGACAGTTAAAAATACACAGAAAAAAATTAGCCGGGCATGGTGGCGCATGCCTGTAGTCCCAGCTACTCGGGATAAAGTTTTTCTTCGTATAATTATGTTTAGGTTGTGTTTAATAATGTGTTTAATAAATGTGGACCCCACTGGGCACGGTGACACACACCTGTAGTTTCAGGTACATTGGAGGCTGAGGCGGGAGGATCACTTCAGCCTAGGAGTTTTGAAACCAGCTTGGGCAACATAACAAGATACCATCTCTAAAAAAATAAGTAAAAAAAATAAACATGAACCCTTGTGTTGCTGTTGTTAGGGTTATTGTGAGACTGAACCCAGGCTATAGGTGGGTGATTCTGTTAGCACATTGTCAACAGTCACTCGGAGAAATGGCATCACTGTGGCTATATTACAGAAAAGCTGCCATTTTTCATGGCAATGGCTAAACAAGCCAGTTGCATTCCATGTGATGTAGCAGTCGTCCCCTTCCCCCTGACCTCACAGCCACTGGTGGTGGAAATCAGGAGGGAATGAGGTAATGGGGACAAGGTGGGGAGCAGAACTATGCAGCAGACCAAGGATGGAATTCCAGGCAGGCCGGTGGGGCCTGAGCTCCCACAATAGAGCTTCGGTCTCTGGGGAGCCTGGTGAATGACAGGTGAGCTCCTGGCCCATGAGGAAGGGACCCGGCAGAATGAGGAAGCAGGAAGGGGAGCTGCTTGTTGGAGCAGATGAGTTCTTTTGAGAGTACACTGACTTCTGGGTGGTAGCAGAATACCCAAGTAGAGTCTCCAGATTCCTTCTCTGTGACCCATGGCCTGCCACACCTTAGAGTCACCATTCCCTTGCCCTTCTCTACAATCGGGAATCTCTGACTTGGCCTCCCCCCAACTTTCACCTGTTCTTCTTCCCCCAACAGCATGGCCTTCCGATCCGCTGAAACCAGGGCCCCCTTGCTTCGTGGGGCTCTCTGCCGGCCCCTCCGTCCCCAGGTCCCTCTCCCCACTGATGGCACTGAGCCTGGTTTCATGAAATACCCACAGCAGCTACTTTCTGTTCTCTGAAACAAATAAAAAGTCTCCCTTCTGTTCCTGTTGCATCACTAATCAGGCACAGCTCATGCCCTGCGAAGCCACTGTTCCTTCTTATTATCCTGTTTCCTGAGAACCTAATCCTTCTGGGCACCCCGTGACTTTCAGAGACAGACCTGCTCTACTGAAGTTAGCTTTGACGTCAGAGACAGCCAAAGCCGCACCCCAGAAACAGCCCCCGGATCACAGAGGTGGGAGTGAGGAGGAACAGGGAGGAGCAGAGGATCACAGAAGAAGTCACCCTTTCAGCTAGAGAACTACGCACTTTGCATTCACGGAGGGACAGTCTCTTTTTTGTCATCCAGTTGTAATCTGCACCACTCTGTTCAGTTTGTGGGGCAAGGAACAGAATGTTTCAGCACAGGATGACCCCACTCTAGAGGAGCCAGCCCACAGCCTTGGCCTTCTGAGCAGGAATATTAACTGAGCCACCTGCGCAGAAAAGAACTAATGGGGCACAGGGCCTCTGCGTCAGTGAGTTTGTTGGTGGCATCCAGGTAGAAACCTCAGGGCCTCGGGGTGCCCCCGGGCAGAACAGCAGACCCCCTCCCTCTCTCACTTGACACAGGCAGGATCCTTGACCACACTGCTAAGGGACTGCTGGGGGCCCCGCTCAGAGCCCAGCTCACAGCGGGTGACGGAGAAAGAGTCCTTAACCCTGTCCTTGAGATGTCCATAGATGTGTTGTGGAGAGCTGTTTAAGAACTCAAGGTCATCTGCAAAGTGAAAAGAATATACTAGGGAGGTGTGCTGAAGGTCTGGGGAAACTGGGGGTGCCCCAGTTGGCCGTGTGACTTTGGGTCTCCTTAATGTCTCGGTTCGAGAAATGAGGACAGTGCCATTTGTCCTCCTTCTGCTTGGGGCACACAGTGGAATAACAGGTGGAGGGGCAGGAAGGGGAGAGAGAACTGGAACGTGGGCCTGTGGTGGGAAGAGTTTATCTCTGGTCATTTCCTGTCTTTCCTCAAGGACTGCTCAAAGCAGAGGAGTTTGTCCTTCCTCATCTCAAGTGTAAGAGTTAAGCAAGACGTGACCTTGCTATGTGAGCTCAGATAATCAAAATCCAGTGGTTGATCTAGCCTCTCTCTGGAGAGATACACGAGAGACTGCTGGTGCTGCTGGCCTCTGGGGGGAGAGGGGCAGGTGTGGGAGGGAGATGTGGTTTTCTCCAGATTATACTCTTTTGCACCTTTTCGATTTGTGCCATGTGACTGTAATATCTAGTAACAAACAAATAGAATTCAATTTTTTTTTTTTTTGAGACAGAGACTCACTCTGTTGCCGGGGCTAGAGTGCCATGGCGTCAGCCTAGCTCACAGCAACCTCAAACTCCTGGGCTCAAGTAATTCTACTGCCTCAGCCTCCTGAGTAGCTGGGACTACAGGCATGTGCCACCATGCCCGGCTAATTTTTCTGTATATTTTTAGCTGTCCGATTAATTTCTTTCTATTTTTGGTAGAGACGGGGTCTCGCTCTTGCTCAGGCTGGTCTCGAACTCCTGAGCTCAAACAATCCACCTGCCTTGGCCTCCCAGAGTGCTAGGATTACAGGCGTGAGCCACCACGCCCAGCCCTAGAATTCAAACTTAAAAGTGATTCAAGGCTGGTCCGATGGTAGCGGGTTAGGGTTATCAGAACTTACTAACATTAGTGTCACTAAAGTTGGTATACAACCCCCATTGCTAAATATGGCTGGCTTTAAAAAAAAAGTGATGCAAGTGGTTCTGGGGACTAGTTCAAGGTTGGGGCAGAGTCAGAGCCAAGCTTTCTTCTTGAGATGCCCCTTCTCTGACCACCAGGGGTTGGTGATAGGCCAGGAGAGCAGGAGAAAGGACTTGGGGTGTCCTGTAGGCTGGCTCCTCACCTCTGTCTCTCCGGTGAGCCCCTGGCTCCACCACGGGCCTCCCTGCCAGGCCTGAGAGCCCCAATCCAGGAGCAGCTGGTGCGGTTGGCACAGGCTGTCACCACCTGTGCAGGGCATTGTGTGCTCACCTGCCTGCAAGCCCGGGCAGCCCGAGCACACCAGCCTAAGAAGTTGTATCAGCTGCAAGAGCTGCTGGGAAGGTGAGCGAAGGGTCCTGAAGGTGGGCGTCCAACCACCCGGAGAAGGTCGGACACAGAGAAAGGGCAGGCCGCCGGTAGAATGGGGCAGACCAGGAAGGCCTCATCCAGCCCTGGTGTCAGCAGGGAGACCAGCCATGTCCACTGCCACTGCTCCTGGGCCAGGACTGGAGGGATGAGTCCTGAAGCTGGCCTCAGCCCCTGGGTGGCAGCCCCGAGCCCGCTGGTGCCAGCACGAGCCCAGCAGGACTGAGGAGTTTTTGTCTGAGCCGAGGCGCTAGAGCTGCAACTCCAGCGCTCCAAGTGTCCTCTCCACTGATCTGAGCGCTCCCCCGCCTGTCTCCAGTCTCTCCCAGGCGAGACCCTGGCGCCTCTACCCCAGACCCACAGGTCTTGGTCTCCCAGCCTCCTGCACCCACTCCCCACTGCCCACAAGAAATGCTCCTCTCTCTTCCTCTGTCCCAGCTGGCTGTCCAGTGTCGGGGCGCCTGCCTTCTGCAGCGCAGGAGGATGTGGGAAGGCCCTGTGGGTGCAGCTCCTGGTTCTGCCTCTTCAGCTCTCTGGGCCTCAGCTTCCCTGGCTAGGGCTTCCCCATGTCACGGCACTGCCACCAGGATCCCTCGAAGCTCTAATTAATCACAAGCACACTTTGTAAGATGAGGCACATATGTGACACATGTCATATTATTGAGCTCTTAGTAAACTCAGATGCAGAATGAATCCTGGTCCTGAGCTAATGACAACCTTGAGGGGCCTTGAAGGGTCGCAGGGCCTGGCATTCCTACCTGGGGCCTCGAAAGTGAGCGGGAGGGCAGGTGGAGGAAAGTGCACCTTCTAACGGGACAAGAAGGTCTGGAGACTCCCCAGGGCCATCTGACTCTAAGAGGAAGTAGGCTGGTGCGGACAGAAGCTGAGGCTCAGAGCCAGGGGGTGCCCAGGCCCTCCCTTTCCACTGGAGAGGGCCCTGGAGGCAGAGCTCCAGTCAGGACACTGCTCTCGGGCCGCCTGTGCAGGGGAGCAGGGTTGACTCAGAAATGGTCAGTGCCACCCCAGACCCCAAGCAGGGCCTGCCGCCAGATCTGTAGGTAGCCCTGCTCTGCTTCCGGAAGGAATGGAGCTGGAGACCTAGTAGGGCTGAGACAAGGGCTTTGAGGGGGTTGAGTGGATGTGCTTGCAAGGGTTGGCGGGGTACAAGAGGCTCCGAGTGCCGGGGACAGGCTGAGCTCACCCACCCCTGACCTTGCATCAGCAGCAGGGCTGGCTGCCAGGCCCTGGGAATTAGGCAGCTCCCAGGGGCCTCCTGGCCCTGCCTCTTGCTGTCAGGAAGAGGGTAACAAAGAGGAGGAGGCAAGCCTGGGGCTCTTCAGCCCCCTCCATTTCCAGGTCAGCCAGCTGCCCCAGCTCCCAGCTTCCCAGGCAGCAAACAGCCTGTGTGATCAAGGGCAGTCACGGATGAGGGCCTGGGAGATCTCCCAGCCCACCCGAGGTCTCTCTGCCGGAAGCCCTCCTAAAGCTGGTGGGCGTCTCCCAGGCAGATCTGGGAACTCTAGGGCTGGTTCCTCTCTGGCCCATGACATCACTGCTTTAAAACTGACCCTCTACCAACAGCTGCAGGTGCCACAGACACGGGCAGAGCACATACCAGGGAGATGTCCAATGTGGCCATGGATTACTGTTGCCTGTCAGGGTAGAATGTGACAGGAGGTTCACAGGAGGGACTCTTGGCCCTGTTGTTCTCCCTGGGACTCAGTCCCAGTGTTTGGGATTTAGAGCCACCCTGCCTAGCCCCTCCTGTTCCGGGATCCTCTTGGGGTGCAGAAGTGTACATGCACAGTGGGGAGGAGTCTGTTCTCAGCATTGGGGCTGCTGTCAGGGATGTCCAGAGGCTCCTGGCAAAGGAAAGGAGACCTGAGAATGGGGCTGGAGCAGAGAGCAGGCTGGGAGCAGGAACACGGGGCTCATGGGAGCCTGGGACCCTTGTCCTGGGTTGGTCCTCACTTACTGCTTCTGGTCTCAGTTTCCAAATCTCTCTCCCTCAATTCCTTTCCGCCTCCAGGCCTTTCCCTCAGCTGAGGTGCTGCTGGAGGAAAAATGTAGCCACCTCCCCAGTGGATTCTCAGACTCCTCTCCCCTTCCTGGGCCTTCATGTCCTCGTCATAACATGAGATGTCCCAACAAGGTGGCCTAGGGGCTCGGTGGCTCAGGAATCCTAGGAGCTATGATAGGATTCTTTGGCCAGAACTTCCATCTCCTTCAATGCTCGCCCCCCACCCAGCCCCCACCTTGGCATCTTCGTGCTTTTGCTTCTCATCTCTGCCCTTTTGCCCTCCGTGCCTGTGTGGAGTCTGGGCCAATCCGCTAATGACTCAGGACAAACATTAGGCTGCCTGAAACCCACGTTTGCCTTTTCTAAGCTACGTCTCCTGGGTTATCATTTAATCCAGGGCGCACTGCGGAGGGGGCACTTTTCCCCAAAGGACACACAGGAGGGCAAACCTTGTGGGACTGAGTGGGGAGAGGTGTGGGGGGGTGCCCTGCAGGGGAGGGTGGTAGGGAGGGAATGGGAAGGGAGCCCAGGCTGCAAGAGCAGTGCAGTTACAGTGTCCTTGGCCCCAGACCCCAGGTCTGGGAATACTGAAGTTGGAGATGCCCTTAAGGGTCATCTAGGCCCCTGTCACCCCATTTCAAAGATGAGGAAACTGAGGCTCAGCAAAATCAAGTGACCTGAAAGTACAATTTAACACCAAAAAAGAAGGAAGAACTTGATTTCTGTTTAAAGGATTGTCCTTTAAATGGAATAATTTTGCTCAGAAAAAGCTCACGGATTGTTTTTTCTCCTTTTTGTCACCGATGATGACATGTTGATTATCACCGTGGCCCAGGGGTATTCTAACTACCAGATTTGGAAACCACTGTCCTGATGTCCTTCTGCTCCTACCACCCTTCTCACTCTTCCATCAGATATGCAAAGTAAAGAAAGGGAACACCCCGGAGAATTGACATCAAAACACTTTCAAAATGTCCCCAGCATCCCCCACATGGTCACTAAAGCCATAAGGGCAGTAGGAGCATGGTTGCTCGGGATGGCATGCACACAGGAGCTCAGCAGTCCCTGGCCAGGGATAGGACTTACTTCGTGTGGGCAGAGCTGTGGCTGGTAGGGGGGCAGGCAGCTCAGTAGTCGCTGGCTCCTCTTACATCCTTGACATGGGCAGGTTCTGGGAGTATCAATTCTGCGAAGACAGTGAGTATGCTGGGCCCTGTCCTGGTAGAGAAGGGCTGTTTTTCATGTCCCCTCACTCAAAGGTCCTTAGAGACTGGGAGTAAAGCTGGGGAGGGGAGTCCTTCAGCGTATGTGGAGGAGGAATGAGATGCTAGTCTGCTGCCTGGCACATAGTAAGTCCTCACTTAACTATTTGTGAATGAACAACTGGAATGTGTGGTATAGTTTATGCTTCTACTACTAACCTCTCAGTGCTTCAGATAAATCTCCTGGTCTCCCTGAACTTTAAGGACACAAGTGCCTATATCAGGCAAGAGTCATCATCTTCTTTTTTTCCCCTGGAACAGTATGGGTTTGAGTTTTTTTAAAGAGATGGGATCTTGCCATGTTGTCCAGGCTGGAGCACAGTGTTATTCACAGGCGCACACTTCTGCAGGCAACCTGGCATTCCCTCACTCCTGGGACGCCGCTGCACTCCAGAGTTTTGACCTGCTGTTTCAGACATAGGCCATGGGTTGTGTTACTAGGAGAAGAGGAATGGAAAACCAAGTGTGCAGACAAATCAATAATTATTACAGTACCTACAATGCCTAAAGGTTTCACAAATATGTGGGGAGGGTTGGAGATTGAGTGGGGGAAGAGCTCCCAAAATAGAGCACAAAGGTGACCAGAACCAGGCTTTGCCTACTCCCAGTTATGATTACTATTAGGCACCAGTCATTTGGCTCCTACTATATGTCAGGCTGTGTGTTAGGCTAAGTATATGCTATATATGTGTTATTTACTTCAGTTGCCACTCTCACAACAATCCTGAAACTCAAGTATTATTAGCTCTGTTTTAAAAGTGAAGAGACTGAGGCTAAGGTTACACAGGAAGTGACTAAGCCGGAATGAAACTTGGGTCCTTCTGTCCATGTTTTTGCTCAAGGTCAGGCTGCCTCTTCAGAAACCAAAGCTGAAAGCTTGCCAGCTGGTTGCTTAGACCACACTCTGAGCCCAGCAGGCATGCAAGGCTGTCACAGCCCTTCCTACCTGCGCTTCCTCAGCTTCCTTGTCCTGCAGGACCCCCCTCCCACCACCAGTGGAGATGGCATACCACTGTCTAATCCAAGGGTTCCTTCACTTCTCAAAGTGAAAGAAATGGCACTTTTCAAAGACATGATCCTTCAGTTGGTGACCCTGCCTAGAATTTTCTAGACTCTGGCCTGCTGGGTGGGAAAAATGGGGATAAGGTGCTTGGAGGGACGCTGGCATGGTGATCAAGGGGTGGCATCTCTTACCTGAATTATGGGACCACCTGCAGCTCCCAAGTGTTCTCCTGCCTATGTGCGGCCCCTCTGGCCCACTCAGTACTGCTTATCTAGCGTGACGCTCCTCAAATACCTGTTACTCCACCCTGCTCAGAACCTCAGTGGCCCCCAGTGGCCACATTCCTTCTGGAGGTCTCCCAAGCTCCTCCAGACCTAGCCCCTGCAGCCTTCTCCAGCTCTCACCACTGCCCTCACACTTGGGAAGGCAGGAGACCTAAAACAATATGATTGCCGCTAGCCATATGTAGCTATTTAAATCAATTACATATTAATTAAATTACTAATTAACAATTCCGTTCCTCAGCCACACTAGTCACATTTCAAGTGCTCAGTAACCTCTTGTGACTGGTGGCTACTGTACTGGACAATGCAGACAGAGAATGTTTCTAGTGTCATAGAAAGTTCTATTGGACAGTACTGGGTTGGACTTTTCTATTAATAAAGGGGGCCCTGATAAAGGAATGTTATCAGCTTTAGAGGACTCTAGGGCAGATGTGACCTATTTGGGGAATCTTTCAACAAATATTTGCCACCTACTGTATTCCAAACCCTGAATATGCAATAGTGGGCAGTAGTAGCTAGTTGGTCCCAGGAGTGAAGAGGCAATTGCTACTGGGTGCCCCTAAGTACCTGAGCCCAGGCTGGGGCAGTGGGGGAGGCTCCCCGGGAAAGTTGACATCTACCAGCAGATCTGCAAGCTGAAGGGGGCACCAGGCAGGCGGAGCTGCTCTCCAGGCTATGTCCCTTTTTGCTTTCAAGGGTCCTAATTACAAACTGTCCCCTAGCCTGGGTGACTCCTCTTCTCTATTTCCCCAGGCAGGATAGCAATGGAGGCACTTCCCTGAAGTCAGTCCCCAGGCTGGGACAAGCAGAGTGTCCCAGTTGGGCCATTAACTCAAGAGCTGTGGGCTGTGGCCTCTACTCCTCCACCTCAGGCCTCATGGCTTCAGGGCTAGGTAAATTCAGGGCTCAGTAAAGACAGGCCCTAGGGCTTGAATGGCCGTGAGTGGAGAGCTCCTCAGGGAAGCTGAACCTGCAGAGCCGGTTGGGGATGCAGGGTCTGACTGTACCCTGAGGCCCAGCAGGAGATGCCAGGCTCCCCAACCTCCACTGCCCTGGAGCCCCTGGCTGGGTGAGGCTGGGGAGGAGAGAGGCCGCTGCCACCAGGGATAGAGGGAGCCTGAGCTGGGCTAACGGAGCTGAAGGAGTGTGTCTTGGGTTCTCCTATCCTCCTGCTTCTACTGGAGGCGCGAAGCTGCTGATTCCGGCCTCACAAACACACTGCAGTGTCACCCGCCCCACGCCAGCCCCAAGCCAGCAGCCCCATCCCCTGCTTCTTCCCGACCACCTGGTCGGAAACAGACTTCCCTGCAGCGACTTTGTGCAGCTAACTGACCCGAATTCGGAGCGAGTTTGTTCCGCCCATCAGGCACCCCTTTACAGCGAATGCCTCGCTTAAGCCTCCTGACCCAAGGACGATTACGTAGGGACGATTATCTTTCCCTCTATCACAGATGAGGAAATGGAGGATCCCAGAAGGTTATAAGCCAGAGCCAGCAGTGACGGAGGCGACCGTCAACGCCCTACGGCTCAGCCTGGACCCGCGCCGCCCCCGCTCGCACTTCCCCGTGTCCTCGTGCCCGTCCTCCCTCCCCATCTGCCCCCGCCCCCGCTACCCGCCTCCCCGAGCCCGGGGTGCAGTGGGGGGTCCGGGCCCTCGGTGCCAGCCGAGCGCCAGGCGGCCCAAACCCGCCCTTTGTTTCGCGGCGCTCGCGGCTTCTGCAGAGTCACGGTCACATGGCGCTTTGGGCACTGGGTGTTCCGGGCGCCGCTCCAAGGCCCGGGGACGCCCCCGCCCCTCGGCCTTGGCCCCGCGGCCCGGACTCCCTCCGCCCTTCCGCGGGCCTCAGCCACTTGCCAGCGCCCCCAAGCTCCAGTCCGCCGCCCGTCTTCTCGGATCGCCCCTGTTCAGCCTTCCCTAGCTTTGGATCCTGGATTGGGGCGTCCAGATCCAGTTGTTTCCTGTGGGCCGCTGTCTACCCTACTGTAGAGACGCCAAGTGCTCAAAATCAGGCTCCTGTCTCCCCGGGAACGCTGTACAGTACATAGGTGCCCGATGAGTAGTTAATGGCCTCCATTCTCACCATTTAACAGGGTGGCAGAGCCAGCGCTGAGAGTCCCTCCTTTCCCCACCCCAAACCCCACAAAGAAAACAAAAATCAGCCACCCGGCCTCACCTTCCTCCTCCTTGGCACGGACCATCTAAGGGCAAACGCTCCAATGGGGTAGATAGCAATGGGGCTGGCCTGTGATGCGGTCCATCACTCCCTGCCAGTCTGCCCTGTGACGCTTGAGAACCCTGGAGCCTCATGCAGGCCACCTCTGCTTCACTTACCAGGTTCAAGAAATACCAGAGTCAACAAATGTTTATTGAAAGCAAACCATGTGCAGGGCAGCCCAGTCCCTCCTGGAGTATGCTAGCCTCCAGGAGAACGTGAGGAGATTCTCTGCTGTCCAAGCGGTGCTCAGTGCTCGTGGTGTCCCCTGAGGCTTGGCTTCTCTGAGGAGGCCACCACCGCATCTTCATCCAGAGCAGCGAGGGAGGACCTCGCTGCAGTAAACAATAGGCTAGGAATGGGCTCCCAGCCTGGGGAGGGATGGGCAGAGGGGCTCTGGGTGAGCATGGCACGGGGTCTCCAGGACCCTTCCTCCCTCTGGCCAACCTTGCCCAGTGCCTGTCATTGGGGTCTGCAGGGACTGTGGTGAAGGAAGGGGAGGGACTGGAGTGGTGGAGCCTGGGCAGGGCCAGGGAGCAAGCTCTGGGGCCAAGGGTGACTGGGTACATCACTGTGGCCTCAGGGCTTGGTGGGGAAGAGCAGGCAGGTGTGTCCCCGGCTGCCACTGTGTCTGTCCACAAGGGGCAGGGGGTGCTGCATGTAGTGCTGGACCATGGCGGACACGGAGGAGAAGAGCTGGACAGGGAAGCAGAGTGTCAGGAGTCCCTTGAGCTTCATGCTGGGAGCACCTTCCTGAGGCAGCAGTGGGGCCCTGGCAAGGGGGCTTGTTGACACTTTTCTGGATATCTTGCTTCCTGTTTGCGCCATGAAGCTCCACTGCTATTTTGTTGCCTGATTCCAAGCAACTTTCCTGCTACTGCACCCGTGGGCACACTGTTGGCCAGATTCATATTTCAAGGCTAGACTAAAATAACTTTAGGGCCACGCCTCTGCCCTGGTCCTGCAGGCTGGGGAGCTGAGTGGTGGGTGAATCAGTTTGTAGCCCAGCAATTGCTAGTGCACGGTTGAGTCCTTGGGGTAGGTAGGCAGGAGGCTGGACTGCCTGGACCCTGCCCTGCTCCCCGCTGGGTGCATTATAGGTACAAATGCCCTCCTCTTGACCCTGTGCAGACTGAGCAATGACAGGAGGAACCTCCCCCAGAGCAGGGTGGGCCTCTTCCCAAAGTGCCAGGGGTCTGGGAAGGCATTCAGGAATCTGGCCTCTGTCAATTTTACACCCCAGAAAGACACAAAACGTGAGTCCTTCCCCAGGCAAATGCTCTTGGCTGGGTCCAGGATACTGCTCTGCTGCAGCCTCCTTGCCCGATAGGCCCTGCCTCCTCCAGCACCCACCTCCTCATGGTTCCTGCCCTCCCGGCCCAGGGCGTAGTGGCGCCTGTCATCCAGCCACCGGATGGGAACGTTGAAGACCCGGCCTCCGAGGAACACTGCCAGGGTGAAGGCCTGGGAGCCATGAGGCCCTGAACTGGGGCGCACGGTGAAGGCCCCATCCTGTGCAGGAGACCCCAGATGTCAACCTCATCTCCCAACTGCCCATCCACAGGCCTGCCCTGTGGTGGGGTCACAACCCCTGGGCTCCTGCTCCTCGTAGCTCAGCCAGCCACAGCCGATGAGCAGAAGGGGTTTCAGAGAAGACCCAGGGCTCTGTGGCTGCCCACCTTTTGTAAGCAGAGCAGGGCACTCTCGACAGCGTGACGGTCACTGTTCCATGAGTACCATGGTTGAGCCAGCAGGTCACTGTCCTGTTCACACACACACACACACACACAGCCCCTCAGAGATGTGCCAGGGCACTAGGTCAGGCCTGGGGAGCCAAGAACCCCGAGGTGCAGTTATCTGTCTTCATGTCTGCCTTCCCTTGACTGAGTCCCAAAAGCAAAACAAAGAGGCATCCGTGCCTGGTGCACAGCATGGTGCCACGCATGTGTGCTCCATACGTGTCCCATGTGGTGGTGCACACCTCAGCCCAGGGCTGCCACTTCTCTGCAGCCCGGGCTTCCTGGGAGCCTTTCCAACCAGAGGAGATGCTGTCCTGGCCGCAGCAGCCAGGAAGCCCCACCCAGCCTTTGCTCTCGGGTGGTCACCTCCCATGTAGGCACAGTGTGGTCAGCTGGACCTGTGACAGGAGTGGGTGTCTGAAGGCAAATGTGTGTTGGGGAGGGTGGTGAGAGGAGAAGACAAGGAAAGAAGAGGGGGCCAGGAGAGTGTGTCATTTCTGTGGGCAGCTGAGGGCTTCAGGGGCAGTAGGGGTTTGGGCCAAGGGAGGTGCTCACCTGGATCGGGCTCACACTCCAGGTAGATGTCCTCCTCCTCAGGTTTCTTTGGAGGGCCTGGCACCTAAGGTAGGGAAGGACGTGTGGGACCATGGATTTGATCGGCCCTAGGGTTCAGTTTAGGACTAGGGGGCCTCTGCCCCAAGCAGTGATGGAGTCCTGGGGGCGGAGCCACAGATGTGGGGGTCAGCTCTGGGTACCTCACTCCCTCCTCACAAGGCAGCCCTTTCTGGGAGCCAGCTGTCATGATTACGATTTCTCCTCTGCCTGGGAGGAGGCCATCCCGTGAGCAAGTCCCCTTCAGAGGTGCCCACAGGCCCCAGCTCTCAAAGAATGTGGATTGGAGTTGGAGCTCGGGTGGCACCTTCAGGACAGCTGGCCTACACCTGCCAGGGGCCTGGGGCACAGGGGGAGGGGCTCTGCCCTGGGCCCTTTCCCTTGGTTTTGGGGATATTTCCTGGCCTTCCCAGGTCCCCCACCCTGCCCACTCCAACCAACTTCCTAGACAGAACCCTAGAATGTGAGGTGGAGATGGAGGGGCTGCTCACCACTCTGGACGGTGTGCTCTGCTCTGGAAGGAAAAGAGGAGAACCACCTGTCATGGCAGCAGGGAGCAGAAAGGAATTCAGTGAAACTTAGGCTGGGACATAGAGTGTCCTTGGAACTTGTCTGAGGGAATCCTCAGAGCCAGCACTGAAGCCCAGGAGAAAGCCTCCCTCATCCCTGATCGATTTCTTCACAGCCCTGTGATGTTGCCTATCTCAACCTCCCAGCTGATTTGCCAGGCTTGGCTCCAAATGTCTTAGGGCTGTTCCAAAAATCAAAGCCACCCTCAAGGTCAGGAAGGTTTACCAACCACTGAAAATGAATGTGGCTCAGGCCAGCTGTTAGACTTTGGGCAGGAGGAGGCTATGTCTCCCCGGGCCTCTTTTGGACAAAAACATGTTGGCTGAGGTCCCTCTTTGTCCTGACATCCAGGGTTCTGGGGTTACAGGGTTCAGGGCACTGACCATAGGGACAAGTCTCTGGACAGTGGTGGCCAATAATGACATGAGCTGTCACAGAGACTGGTGGCCCCTTTTGATGGGGGATGGTGCACAGATGTTCCTCCATGGTGAGGGTCCTCAGGCATAGGCTGCCCTTTGACCTCTTCATTCTGAGGATGTCCCTCACCTGACCCAGCAATCACACCAGGTGCAGAATAGGACCTGGGGGTCTGGGCCTCTGCTGTGTGGTCTCAGGCACAGCATTTCATGTCTGTGGGCCTCAGTCTCCTCATTTGTTTCATGGGAGGCAATGCCACCTGGACTGCCACCTCAGGGGACTTGCAAGTAAAAAGGACACCCAGCTGGGGCCTGTGATGAAAGGCAGAACAGAGGCCCAGTGTCAGGCAAGTACAACTCCATCCCCGTGGGGAAGGATGCCCCTTCCCAGGGTGGAGCCATGGAGAGAGGACATCCCCATTACCTCGCCTCCCAAAGAGAGGTCCCTGCTTCTCAGCCACGTGCAGGCTCGCTGCTGCCTTCAGCTGTGGGCACAATGCGGGCAGCTGAGGGCCTCAGGGGCAGGATGGGTCTGGACCAAGGGAGGTGCTCAATGGGGCCAGTGAGGGAAGGTAGGGGAACTGAGGCATCTGGAGGGCAAGGATGGGGTGGGGCGGGACCATGTATATTTGTGTAGGTTGAAAACACCCATGTGACAACTCAAGAGGAAATGTATAAAAGGGACGACTCCTCTTTGCCTCTACTTTGTGGCTCTTTCTTTGTTGTGAATCTCTCCCTTTTTTTTTTCTTTTTAATTCCAGCGAAATATATGATGAAAGTGGTAGCTTTCAAAGTCCATACCCGGGATCAAGGTGGGCATGGGAGCTGGCAGGGACTGCAGTTGAGCAAGGGACTTCTTCACTCTCTAGGCAGGGAGGAGTCCTCAGGTCCCCGCATCCAGGGCAGGGGCAGCTGTGCCTGTTCCCCACAGCCCCAACCCGTCACTGGCAGCTGAAGTGGGAAGGGTGACCCGGACAGGCAAGTTGGCAAGCCACTGACAGTAAAAGGGTTCCGGCTTCTGAGGGTCTGATTGTTCAGGGGCCTCTTGAATGCAAATATGGTGGGATCTTGCAAATGAGATGCCTCAGAGAGTCACTCACCGGGAAATGGCAGCCTGGGGTGGGGTGGGCGGGGAAGGAGGGGTTTGTGGGGAGGCCTCTGGCCCCGGTGGGCTGAGGCAGGGGTGGCGATGGCTTGGATGAGCCTGGGGGGCCAGAGCAATCTGGAAAAGACCCCAAGAGTTGTGAGTTGGTGGGTTCCTCCCATGTAGGTTCCTGTTGTCCTCCTGCCCCATCTAGCCTCACTTCCTCCTCCCTCCTTCACTCCCAAACACTCACTGGCTTCCTGACAGCCCTGTCTCTATGGCAACTGGAGGCGGCCAGCTTCCCTGCCCCCACCTGGCTGAGGGGCCATGGGGTGGGATGCCCACGGCAGCCAGGCTCTCCCAGCACTCCCGCCCTTGGCCTGAGGAAGTGCTGGGATCTTGGAGGGGGAATGCCAGGTCCCCCGGGACTCTTGGGCTTCCTGCCCTCAGCTGTTGCCTTGGTTACAATGCCCCTCCTCTCCCCATCCCACTCTTTCTCCTCCTGCCCTCCCTTCTTTCCTCCATCCGTCTCTCTCCCTCTGCCCAGCTCAGAGGCCCCGTGACTGCCAGCTGAGGCCTCCCTCGCTGCCCCAGCAAGGGAGGAGAGGCAGGGCCTGTGCTCTCTTGTCCTGTGGGGCCCCTCCTGTCCTGCCTAAGCACCCAGCCTCCCTGCCTCCCCCTTCCCAGCCCTCACCTATGTACAGGGAGTCCTCCCCTGTGCCAGGAAGGTGGGCAGGAGCCAGAGTGAGGGGCAGAGCCTCACAGGGGGGCAGCTCATATTTATCTTCCTCCTCCTCCTCTTCCTCCTCCTCCTGGGCCTTCAAGAAAGGGTGCCGGCACAGGGGCATGGAGGGTGGAATATGTCCAAGCACAGGCAGGGCGGCTGTCTCCCCCCACCCGAAGCCTCAGCAGCTGGACTTACCCTGTGTCTCCAGGTGCCTGGAGCGGGCAAGGGAGTTGGGTTGGGGGCATCTTCTCTGCAAGCTGGAGGGTCTGGACAGACAGCCTAGTCTCACCTCCTCCCAGCCCATCCCCCTCTAGCACAGTGCCTCCCTCTTTCCCCAGGGTAATAAACCATCTGCACTTGACAGCGTGTGCAGATACTTCAACTCAAAGGACCCATTCATATGGGCATTTCCAACTCTGCGGCAGGGCCAATAAAGTAGGTGTTTTGGAAACAAGGGGGCCTCCCAGCTAGCTGCCTGTTCCACTTCTGCCAGTCTCCCACCCTTGCACCCCTGATTCTAACCAAGACAGGTGGGAGAGCTAGGCCCCAGCGACATAGCAGTGCTGGACTATGGTGGGCAAGCAGCATCCAGAGCCACTCATAGGAGACTCAACTTGCAGGGGACCCCAGTCTGCTGGCCTCCTCTGGCCCACTGTGTCACTTACCCACACATCTGGGGGGTGGGAGGGGTGGCCCCAACCTGCAAACAGACTCTAGTTAACTCTTCCCAAGGGGCCCTTGAGTTTGTGTCAGCCAGATGCTATGCTAGGCCTTCACATCTGACCCACGACAGTGTGAATGACAGAGGCCCCGGGCACCAGGAGGAGGCAGCTGGGGACAGAGTTAGTGCCTGCGGGGCACAGCTGCATGAGCTGGTGCCCCAGGGAAGCTGGGAGATGGGGAGCCCTAGTGCTGACAGGGGATGGAGGTACATGAATGATCTCAGTGGGCAGGGAGGGCACAGGCAGAGCCAGCACGGATCCTGGGATGGCAGTGCCCAGGAAAGGAAGGGTGAGGGGTAGGTGGAGATAAGAGGGCAGAAGGAGTAAGAGGAGCCCCAGTACTCACCGAGCCTTGTTCCCACCGAGTTTATCCTGGAAAGAGCCAGGGAGGGGAATAGAGGGGTGATCAGGGCAGCTGTCTCCCTGCCCAGAGTCTTGGCCACAGCCCCCTCCCCGGGGTGCACAGGTTTGTGCGCCTGGAGCTGCCCCAGGACGAGTCTCACCATGGCAAAAGCAGAGGACCTATGCTTCCCTGGACCCGGCCTGCCCACAAATGGCTAGGAACAGGGGCCCTTTGTCCTGTCATTTGCATCTCCCAAGCACCAGGAAGGTGGGCCTGCTGTGGCCTTCAACCTCAGACCAACCTCACCCGCTTCCAGGACACTCCAGGGCCCAGCCCAGCTCTCCCCAGCCTCCCCTGAGTCGGCCTCCCACAGCTGTGGTCTCCAGCCCTCTGCCCCCCGGAGGAAGAGCTAAGCCAGCCCAGGGCTCACAGTAATGCTCACAGTGATGGGCAGATATAATTAAAAACAGGGTGACTATCCTTGCCGACACTTTTCTTAAACCCTTCACTCCTGTTGTCATTTGTTGGTGAGTGGCAATCAGTGATCAGGGAAATGTGGAAAAAGTCAAGTGCTAAATGAAATCTAATATCATATATATGATTTATTTTAATAATAAATTTAATTTAAAAATGTTAAAGGCAATGAAGATTAGGGGAAAGCTCAGAAATCAGCTTTCATATTTAGTGTGACAGCTTCATTATTATTATTATTTTTTTGAGACAAAGTCTTGCTCTGTTGCCTGAACTAGAGAATGCCGTGGCATCATCCTAGCTCACAACAACCTCAAACTCCTGGGCTCAAGCGATCCTCCTGCCCAAGCCTCCCAAGTAGCTGGGACTACAGGCAGCCGCCACCATGCCCGGCTAATTTTTTCTATATATTTTTAGTTGTCCAGCTAATTTCTTTCTATTTTTAGTAGAGATGGGGGGGTCTCACTCTTGCTTAGGTTGGTCTCAAACTCCTGACCAGCGATCCTCCTGCCTCAGCTTCCCAGAGTGCTAGGATTACAGGCGTGAGCCACCGCGCCTGGCCAACAGCTTTATTTTTTTTATTTATTTTATTTTATTTTTTTTTTGAGACAGAGTCTCACTTTGTTGCCCAGGCTAGAGTGAGTGCCGTGGTGTCAGCCTGGCTCACAGCAACCTCAATCTCCTGGGCTCAGCGATCCTACTGTCTCAGCCTCCCGAGTAGCTGGGACTACAGGCATGCGCCACCATGCCCGGCTAATTTTTTGTATATATATTTTTAGTTGGTCAATTAATTTCTTTCTATTTTTGGTAGAGACGGGGTCTCGCTCAGGCTGGTTTCGAACTCCTGACCTTGAGCAATCCGCCCGCCTCGGCCTCCCAAAGTGCTAGGATTACAGGCGTGAGCCACCGCGCCCGGCCAGCTTTATTTTTTGATGTATGTGTTTACTCGTTCAGTGGATATTTACTGAACACCCACCATCCGCCAGGCACTGTTGCTGAGGATGCCGTAGGAAAACTGAGCAGGCGGGCATTGCATGTGTGTTTCTTCACTGGATTCTCACAATAGCCTCATGATGCAAGTCCTGGTTTTAGCCTTAATTTTCAAATGAGGAAACTGAGTGTATATTAGTCAGCTCAGGCTGCCTTAACAGAACACCACAAACGGAGTGGCTTAAACAACAGAAATCTATTTTCTCATAGTCTGGAGGCTAGAAGTCCAAGATCAAGCCTCTCTTCCTGGCGTGTAAATAGCTGCTCTCTTCCTGTGTCCTCACATGGCCTCTTGTCTGTGTAAGCACTCTGGTGACTCTTCTTCTTATAAAGACACCTATGCTATCAGATTTAGAGCCCCACTCCTATGACCTCATTTAACCTTAATCACCTCCCTGAGGGCTCTACCTCTAAACAGTCCCAGTGGGGGTTAGGACTTCAACATATGAATTTTAAAGGGACACAATTCAGTCCATAATACCGAGGCTCTGAATAGTCAAACACCTTTCCTGAGGAAAGTTAGGAAGCATTAGAGGGGATTCAACCTGAGGTCTGCCTGACCTAGAGCCCGTGGGCTAAATGCTGAGCATCCAGCACCTCATCTACAGCTGGGTCCAGACCCTCCTTCCCTGGGAGGGAATCAGACTCACCGATACTGCAGGCTTCCTTAAGGAGCCTGTGACTTCCGGGTGCTCTGTTACCCAAGTGAATTTTATTTATTTTTTTTATTTCAGTACATTATGCGGTACAAATGTTTAGGTTATGTATATTGCCCTTGCCCCACACGAGTCAGGGCTTCAAGAGTGTCCATGCCCCAGACAGTGTGCGCCGCACCCATTAGGTGTGTATATACCCATCTCCTCCTCCCCACTCCCACCTGCCTGACACCCGATGAATGTTACTACTATATGTGTACTTAAGTGTGGATCCGTTAATACCAATTTGCTGGTGAGTACATGTGGTGCTTGTTTTTCCATTCTTGGGATACTTCACTTAAGTAGAATGGGTTCCAGCTCTATCCAGCCAAATGGATTTTAGAACCTTGACTTTCTGAGAAGTGTTGAAATAAAAAGGACTTGGGCCTGGTGTCTGACTCTGTTTAAACCAAGGAATGAGGAAACAGACCACGGTCATGAATGATGAGATGAGAACTTCTATTAAAGCCTGTAACTTTCTTGTGTTTATTATTGTGGAGACGTCCTGGCTGTTGGCACAAGGGAGAAATGAAGCCCATGTGCTTGCATCTTTGGGAGCCACCAGGCTGGGGGCACTGGGGAGGGACCCCCCAGGGTTGGAGCTGGCCACAGCCTTAAGAGAGGAAGACCAGGTGATTCCTGGGACCTGCAGGCAAAAGGGCACTTAAGAACCCATGAAGAGTCACCAGGGTGGCTTAACAAGGAGCCTATCTGGTGCAGTGGGAGAAACAGAGAAAACAAAGAACCAATTGTTCCCGAATCAGGGAACTGAGTCTACTCCCTGTCCTCCACTCCCAGCTGACCTTTTTACCACATTTGGACCATAAGGCCGGGGGCAACTTCCCCCAACCCAGGGGACTCCCATGGAATCAGAGTCAGCAGGAGATTGTGGACACCGCTCTACTGTCAACCCCAAATGAGTGAGTTTCCCAATCTATGCTGCCTCGCCCCAGCCACCTCCTCCCTCTGTTCAGGGCTTTGCATAGGCAAATGCCAAGGCCCCTGTGAGTGAATGAAAGGGCCCAAGCAGAGATGGAATCTATGCCGCCCTGGGCATAGAGGGTGGGGGTGGGGGTGCCGGCCTGGACAGATCTGGAGAAGGGGAAGGAAAGAGGCCTGCTTTCGTGGCCTCATTTCACCCCCACAGGCAGATTTGGACATCCTCTTTATCCATCTTCGGCAGAGGATTGCTTTGTGCACACCATAGATGTCCCCTGGGGATGAATTCCTAGAAGTGGAATTACTAGAAACTCAATATTTTGCAGGTTTAATGTCACATTGTCTGGTAGCACCTGAGTGTCTGCTTTGTGGTTCTTTCATAGCATAAAGTGATTCTCCAAATTTTTTAGGTCTCAGCTACTGATTTTCAATGAGAGCAAGTTATGGGTCCAGGTTAGTCTAAACCCATCCTTAGAAAACAAATGGTGGTCTGGAGCAGTATCTCCCCCCCTTGTATGTCATAACTATTGCTGGAGAGCTTGTTAAAGGTCTTAAGTTCTCAGCTGGGTGTGGTGGTTGTGTACCTGTAGTCTCAGCTACTTGGAAGGCTGAGGCAGGAGGATTGCTTGAGCCCAGGAGTTTGAGGTTGCTGTGAGCTAGGCTGATGCCACGGCACTCACTCTAGCCTGGGCAACAGAGTGAGACTCTGTCTCAAAATAAATTAAATAAATAAAAGTCTTAGATTCTTAGACTCTCACCAAGATTGCAAGAGTTGGATTCTCTGGGGAAGGGGCCTAGGAATCTATATTCTTTTAACAAGTTTCTTAGATCAATCTTATGCTAAGTCAAGTTTGAGAAACACTGCACTATGGGAAAAATTCTGAAAAGAGGCAACTTCTCCTAGGACATTTTTAGAATCACCTACAGCTCTTAGCTCACTGGGAACACAGGGGGCCTAGCAGAGAAGGAATGTGGCACAGATCCTGCCCTCAGGGGGCTCCTGGGATGGATAGGGCAAGCCCAAGATGCCCAGTCTCTCTGGGCTTCAGTTTCCTCGGCGTCAGGGGGCATATGAATAAGGCACTCCTCACTGGGGAGGCCTCTGAAGGTTGAATGAAATCATGACACATAAACATCAGCTCCTCCTGAGGCAGTGAGGCTGTGGTTGATGTCCTTGTTGCCAGCGGACAGAGAAGGTGGTGAGGTCTAGCTGGGATCCCTGGTGTGCATGGAGTGGAGTGAGTTGCAAGGAGGGTGGGGGTGGTTTCTGAGGACCTGAAGGAGGACTGGTTTGCAAGCTGTGGTCAGAGGTGTCGGAGGTGGGAGAGTGCAGCATGTGGAGTAAGAGCCCTTGGGACATGGGTTGATGGCTCCCAAAGAACTGACAGGGGTAAGTGTCATTCTTTTTTCTTTTTTTTTTTTTTGAGACAGAGTCTCACTCTGTTGCCCAGGCTAGAATGAGTGCTGTGGCATCAGCCTAGCTCACAGCAACCTCAATCTCCTGCGCTCAAGTGACCCTACTGCCTCAGCCTCCCGAGTAGCTGGGACTACAGGCATGTGCCAACATGCTCGGCTAATTTTTTTGCATATATATTTTTAGTTGATCAATTAATTTCTTTCTATTTTTCATAGAGACAGGGTCTCCCTCGAGCAATCCGCCCGTCTCGGCCTCCCAGTGCTAGGATTATAGGCCTGAGCCACCACGCCCGGCCGTAAGTGCCATTCTTTGTGGCTGTTGAGCACATGTTATGTTCAGAGTGTTCTTCACCTTACAAGAATCTTCTCTTCCAACCACAGAAGCCAGGCGAGGCTCTCCCAGCCTCCCTTGCGGCTGGGGTGTAGGCGTACAGCCAGTCAGGTGCCCCATGCCAGACTTTGAATCTGAAGCAGTCACCAAAAGGAATTCACCCTGGGGAGGGTGGTGACAGCCAAATCCTGTTTCTGGAGGCCAAGGAGGTTGAGACATTAGTGGCATCAACCAATGCCCAGACCACTGGTGGTGGCAAATGGTGGTAACTGCCTGGGATGGCTCTGCCAGGCCACATTTGGGACACTATTCCTGGCTCATTCTCTGACCCTCCTGGAGATGCTGTGAACTACAGAATATGTTTAATAAATTATTTTTCAGCCTAAACTGGCTAGAGTTGGTTTCTTTCCTTTCCTTTCTTTTTAAATTTATTTTTAGATACAGGGTCTCATTATGTTGCTCAGACTGGTCTTGAACTCCTGGCCTCAAGAGATTCTCATGCCTCAACTTCCATAGGTAGATGAGAGTATAGGCACATGGCTGTAATTTTTTAAAATTATAAAAGTAATTCATACTTGTTATTAGGAAAGAAGTCCCATGAATATAGAAGTATGAAGCTATGACACTTATTTCTACCTGGTCCCACCTTCCCAGGACACATCCATACCTGTGCTAACTGTTTGGGCTTCTTGGCAACCATTTGCTGACCCCACAGATGCTGCAGTTTCATCTCCAGATTAGAGTTCTTAATTGAAAGTAAGAGAAACTGGCCGGGTGCAGTTGAAAAATTAGCTGGATGTGGTGGCGCGCACCTGTAGACCCAGCTACTCGGAGGCTGAGAGGTTACAGTGAGCTATGCTGATGCCACTACACACTAGCCTGGGCAACAGAGTGAGACCTTGTCTGAAAATAAATAAATACATAAAATATAAAAAATTAAAAAATCAACCAACATAGATAGGAAGAAGGAAGAGAAAAGGGAGGGGGAGGTGATGTGGATTTCAAATATGAGGAAGAGTAGGGAGACGGAGGCACTGGGGGAAGGCAGGGCTCTGGGAGAAAGGAGGCCAGGCCAAGGCAGGGCCACAGGGATGTAGAGCCACCAGGAGAAAGCCAGGTTTCCTTCAGCAGGGAGAGGTGCTGATAACACAAGGATCTTCTCCCAGGGGCAAGTGGAGTATAGGGGGCGTAGAAAGAGGGAAGGGAGAACTTCCTAAACACAAGGTCAGGGTCAGGGAGGTGGTGCGAGAAGAGCCCCGCCTACAAGGGACTGGGGACAGGGAGAGGACGATCTGACAAGCAGGCAGCCTGCGAGGGCCACAGGCATCGAGTCCTCAGGATATTTTGGCCAAGCAGCGGCTCAATTAGAGCCTAAGATGTCCTGTGGAGCGCGCCTGGGAGCAGTGGAACTCCTGTGTGTTGGTCAATTTAAGTCAGGCCAATCCGAAGCAGCAGTTGCATTAGGGTAAAGCCCCCCCCCCGCGGGCTAATGGATGACAGGCGGGCTTAGCACGAAGCTGCAAGCCGCCTCTGATCCTCCCTGACCCACTGCCTTCAGCAGCTGCGATCGTTGGACTCGGTGACACGGCTGGTGGGGGATGGGCGAGAGGCCTGAGCGCAGACATAAGGACAGACAGCTCCAAGAGGGTCTCTGCCCGTCCTCCTGGCAGCTTAGATTTTGTGAACATCTCCTCACTCCCTGAAGGTGACTAAAGCTGTATGGTCTCTGTTTTTGTTTTTTTGAGCAGAGCTTGTTTTTTCCCAGGCTAGGATGGGTGCTCATGGCAGCTAGCGCACAGCAACCTCAACTCCTGCTAAGCGACTCTGACTGCCTCGCTCGCAAGTAGCTGGGGACTACAGGCATGTGCCACTATGCCGCTAGTTTCTATATATTTAGTGGCCATTGAATTTCGTTTGCTTAATGAGAGACGGCTCGTCTTTGCGTCAGCTGTTCGAATCTGCCTCAAGCGATCCGCTGCTGCTCCCAGGAGGTAGGATACAGGCGTGAACCATCGCCTCGCCTCTCTGCGGTTTGGAGGCAGTTCGCGCTGATCAGTTCTACAAGGTTCGAGTGAGTTACTGGCTTTCTCTGGCCCAGGAAAGAGTGCTTGAACCACACCCACCCTCTCCCTCCCCGGACAGGTGCTATGCCCGCCCCATTCTGACCTTATGCCAGCCAAGGCCCCCTTGCTTGGTCATTGCCACGTCGCTAACCCTTGAGTGACTTCCCATGGCTCCTTGAATGAGATACAAAGCTCTTGTTGCTTGTGAGGATCATGCCCACCTAGGCCCAGCCCCGAGCCCCTCCATTTTTTTCCCAGACAGCTCCTCCATCACTCACTTCCTATATGTGCTTTCAAGGTGACCAGGGCCCTGGGGGCCCATTCTGCATCCTGGAAAGGAAATTTCAGTGGAAAGAAATTTAGATGTTTACTTAGTCTTCAGAGAAGACAGAGACTCTAGCCTGGGTGACAGAGTGAGACCTTGTCTCAATAAAACAAGAGAGAATAATGACAGAGACAGGACATCCTTAATACATAGCAAAACACACTAAAAAGGGGAAAAGAAAGAAAGAAAAAAGACTCTTCTATATGAATATTATACTTAAAAAATATGGCAATACCCTCTTCACATGGCCTGCTCCAGAGCCCAGCACTCGCTCCCCACACCCCCTCAGCTCTTTAATCTGCACGTCACCACAGCTCTAGCTGCCTTTCTGCTTGACCCACCAGCCCACTGCCCAGATTCTGCCCACAAGAGAGCCCAGGAGGAGACCAGTATGCAGGAAGCCTGGGTGAGGCTGGGGGGGGGCGTGGTGGGGGCAGAGTGGCTGCAGACACTATCATGTGACTTGGCTTCTTTCAGCCCTTTCTAGTCTCAAACAGGCTCCTTATCTGGGGTTGTGCACTTGCTGTGCCTCTGCTAGAACACCCTGGCCCTTCCCTCCCTCTTCCTGCAGGCCCCAGCTTAGGTGGCCCTTCCTCACTGGGAGTCCCAGACCAGGACAACCCCCTAGTCCGCTCTCTTGGCTCCCACCATAATTAAACCTACAGGTTCAGTTCAGAGCCAGACTGTGGACGTCCACACTCGACTGTAAATGGGCAGCCACTGTGTCTGTTAGGTTCACGGGCAAACCTCAAGTGTCTGGCCCACAACTTGGCACACAGCAGGCTCTCGATCAATATTTGTTGTAGTTGCTATTCAAATCTTACTCATTCTTCACAGTCTGCACAAAGCCTGCCTCTCTGCAAACATCCTTGGTCTCTTTTCTCCAAAAGGCCCTTGTCTTGCTCATTTCCTGCCCATATGTCACCAACTACCAGGCCTGACCTGAGGAACAATGCTCTAAGGGCCAGTCTGTGTTTATCTGCTGAAAACAACCCCCTTCTTCCCCAGTGCAGATGGATCACCAAGGACTGTCTTCTCTGGATACCTCTGACCAACCTTCCCCATCCCACTGGGTCCTTTCCTCCACTTACCTTTCTTAGGGAGGCCAGGGGCATCTCTTCCTCCTCCTCACTCTCCCTAGCACTCCTGCTTCTTCCCTCCCCCGCTCCAAATGTCATATGGCCCTGCTCAGGCTTCCTCCTTCCTCTCAGAGCCCGGGAACCAAGCATCTGTTCCAGCTGCTTCCATGTTCCTTTCTCCCAGGACTGGTAAGGGCAGAGGGTTTGGAAAACGGGCCAGCCTTCTACCCTCCCCCTTAGGAGAGACCAGACACTGCGGCTCGCAGATGTGTCTCCATCCCCACATCCTTCCTTGATGGGGTGGAGGGCCCTGAGATCACCCTTCCTACCTTTTACCAACGGAAAAGCTGAGACCAAAGAGGAGATGGATGCGGGCCAAGACCATCTTATTACGCACACAGGGCCAAAGCCCACAGTCCCCTCACACCCGGCACGGGCCACTATAGGGGCCTAAGCACTAGTTCCACGGGAAAGGGCGACCCCTGGTGGTGAGGAGAAGTGTGGCGGCCCGTCGCTCGTTCCCAGGACCCTGAAGCTGACCAAGGAGGGGCGTGGCCTGGAGTACCACTGGACACAAGCTTTCATTATCTGGAAGGTAAACAGAGGCAAGCCCTTAGGGGGAAAGAACCCAACTTTCGTTGCACCTTGCCCTTAGCCACATTCCCTGTAATTACCTAACAACGCTGTCCTGTCCTGTCGCCTGGATTGACAGGAAGCAGCGATAGACATTAAATGGCTTTTGGCACATAGCAAGTCACACAAGCGCTTATTGATGCAGGGGTCTGGTGCTAAGCCTTGGAATGCAGAAGCTCACATTCTAATAATAAGATTTCTAATAAGGGAAAGGGCTCTTATTAAAGAGTCCAGGAACTGAGGCAACGGCTATCTACCTCCAAGTTTCTATGGTACCTATCTCTCATCTCTAGGGATAGAAGGGCTACTCAACAAAAGGCTGGTTGTCTTAACAGAAATCCTCAGAAAAACAAGCCTTTGAGAACTTCCCAGGCAGAAATGGACATGCTGAGAGACCACTTAATCAGTTCGTGTGAACCCCACCCCTGCTACCAAGAGAATCTAGGTGATCTACTTTGAATACCCCTTCTGGAGCTGTTTCTGTTTCAAGATTAAATGGAATATTTCTAGGAAGTAGCTGGTCTCGACCTAACTACCTAAGAATGAAAACCTCACTGACATTACAGGGTCATGGCTATAACTTTATAGACTAAGTATTTTCCTACTTTGATGATCAGGGATGTAGCAGTATATGCCTGGATCAGTGTAAAACATGAAAATGGGGTTGGAGACAAAGTCCAATGTGTTGCTGGCCACTGTGGTGTCATTGCTCCCGATACTAATGTAACCTGAGTCCCCACTTGGGAGCCAGAAATCAGCTGAGAAGAGGCCTCTGGAGAGAGGCTGCCCTGACTCTGGAGGGTGGATGAAGTAGGGCTTCAGCACAGCTCATCCCATCGAGCAGGCTGGACCCCTGAATTCCTGGCTTGCACTGAAGGGTTTGGGTAAGTCCCTTCTGTAGCGCCTCAGAAGCTCCATAGGCAACCTGTGAAGTTAGGATGAGAGCTCTGACATTTGACCCTGAGGTGTGAGCAGAGCGCTTTGAGAGAGAGGATGCTGAATGAGAGTGTCCTGGTTATTATCTCCTGGCAGCCCCCTGGCCTTCACCTTGGCTCTGTGATACAAAGCTGATGCCTAAGCCTCAGACACCAGGGGCCTTCATCCAGGGACGGGACGTGGAGGATCCAGCCCTTCCCTTGGCTTCTGCAGACGGGCAGGCCACACACGAAGCCTAAAAGGCCTAGTCCTGCCTCGGGATCGGCTGCTCCTCCCTCCAGGCGATGGAGGAAGGGTCAGGGAGGCCACTCTGCGTCCCTGCTAGACGGTGGGCCGAAGCCCTCACCCACCATCATCCTCTTCCCTGAAGGGAGGGAGAAGTGGGGCTCAGGGTCGCTGAGGAGGGCTCGGACCAAAGGCCGGGAGTATCCTCCCGAGCAGGGGAGCCCCCGCCCTGCCAAAGGGATCTCGCCGCGCCCCACTTGATCCTCCAGGGCCGACCAGCACCTGAGGCCCCGCCCCGCGGCCCGCTGCCTGCTGGGATTTGTAGTTGGCAGGGGCGGGGCCAGGAGGGCCGGGCGCGCGCCCGTGTGTGAGTGTGCGTGCGTGTGTGCGTAAGTGTGTCCCGAGTCCCGTGGTGGCGTTCCCATCCTCCTGACCTTGCCTCCGACCCAGGACCCCCTCGATCTGAGCTTAGCAAATGCATTACCGGCCGCAGCTTCCGAGACCCCGCCCCACGTCCCACTGCCTGCTGGGATTTGTAGTTCGCAGGGCCTCTGTAGTTCGCTGCCCTAGGTTGGGGTGGGGGCCCAGGTGTTACCCGGAGTCGTCGTTTCCTTCACGGCCCTGGAATTGGACGCTGGGCCAGGCGCGTGGCTCGAAACTCCGGCCGGGTTTCCGTGGCCCTTTCCGACGACACCGCGATGTACCTATCGTGCCTGCAGGACTAGCCTTTGGATGGGCAAACTGAGGCACCACAAAGGGCTCGCTCTGGCAGAGGTCCGCCCCTGGTGGAGTAAGGACTTGGCCTGGGAGACTCAGCCTGGGCCTGGTAGGCAAGGCTGGGCCAGGTGAGGGTCCAGGGCCCATTCAGTTCTTAAGAGTCTTTGATCAATGATGTCTCAAACTAATGAACAAGCTCGCCCAGGACTAGCTGTGCACATTAGAGCTGATTACCTTACAGGGTTGACTGATAATATTTTTATTTGCCAAATTTGACAACACTACAGAGGAGAGCCCAAGGAGGGATGAAGTCTCTTCTTAACTATGAGTGACCCTGGACCACAGGTCTGCTTCAAAGATCAAATAAACGGGGTTTGTGTGGGGGTGTCTCCACACAAACTATAAAGAGTTATTTTGTAAACTATAAAGCCCCTGTGAGTGAGGGGTTAATCAGGATCTGAACGCAAGTACTGGAGAAAAGGCTCTGGGAGCCACCCTTTAAAAGAGAATGTACACCTACTATAGTTATGTATGAAATCCCCTTTAGGAAAAGCTGAGTGATAGGTACATGGAATTTCCTAGATTAATTTTTTAAGTTGGGTACGAATGGGTCAATAATGACTTTAACACTCAAAAGTTACAAAGCCCTTTTGGTTTTTGCTTGTTGATAGCTTTATTGAGATATAAGTAATATACTATGTAATTCACCCATTTAAAGTGTACAATTCAATGTTTCATTAACAGTATATCATGGCTGGGCATGGTGGCTCACTCCTGTAATCCTAGCACTGTGGGAGGCCGAGGCAGGCGGATTGCTCGAGGTCAGGAGTTTGAAACCAGCCTGAGTGAGACCCGTCTCTACTAAAAATAGAAAAAGAAATAATGACCAATTAAAAATATATATACAAAACAAAAAATTGGCTGGGCATGGTGGCACATGCCTGTAGTCCCAGCTACTCGGAGGCTGAGGCAGCAGGATGCTTGAGCCCCAGGAGTTTGAGGTTGCTGTGAGCTAGGCTGATGCCACGGCACCACTCTATCGTGGGCAACAAGTGAGACTCTGTCTCAAAAAAAAAAAAAAAAAAGTATATCTCAGAATCGTGCAACGCATCACCCCACAAATCTAATTTGGAACATTCTCATCACCTCAAAAGTAAACGCTGTACATCCTAGCCAGACTCCTTCTAAGCCCCCAACCCTCCCCTCCAGCCTTAGGCAACCACTAATCTATTTCTATTTCTTTCTTCTTTTCTTCTTTGTCTTGTCCTCCTCCCTCCCTTTCTTTTCCTCGGCTCGTTCGCCTCTCTTTCTTTGACCCCCCGTTCTTTCTTTCTCTTCTTCTTCTTTCTTCTTCTGTTCTTTTCTTTTTCCTTCGCGTCCTTTCCTTCTTCCCGTGCCCGGGCCCTCCTGGCCGCCCTCGTTCCCCTCTCCTCTCTTCTTCTCCTTTTTCTCCTTCCTTTTCCTTCCTTCTCCCTTCCTTCTTTCTTTTCTTCTTTTTTTCTCTTTCTTCTTTCTTTTCTTTTTTTTCTTGCTCTTGTGTCTTCTTCTCTTTGTCTTTATTCTCTTCCTTGTCTTCTTTTTTGAGACAGAGTCCAGTGGGGCGTTGGCAGGGCTGTAGAGGTGCTGTGGTGCTCAGCCTAGCTCACAGCAACGGGCTCAAACTCCTGGGCCAGCGGAGTTCTCCCTGCCTCCGCCGAAGCCTCCCGACATAAGAAACAGGTTGTGCCACGTACCAGCTAATTTTTCTATTTTTATAGAGATGGGTTTCTGCTCTTGCTGCATGGTCTTGAAACTCTTGAGCTGAAGCGATCCGCCCATTTCAACCTCCCAGAGTGCTAGGGTTACAGTTGTGAGCCACCACACTAGGCCTGGGACCAGTAATTTTGACCTCACTTTCCCTGTTTCTTCATTTATAAAATGTGGATAATAAGAGATCTCCTTTAAAGAGCAAATGGGGCCGGGCGCGGTGGCTCACGCCTGTAATCCAGCAACTCCTGGGAGGGCCAAGGCAGCGCCGGATTGCGCAAGGTAGGAGTTTGAACCGAGGCCCTGATCAAGAGCGAGACCGTCTACTATAATAGAAAGAAACTTATTGGCCAACAAATTAGTAGAAAAGCATTAGCCGGGCATGGTTGCCGGTGCCGGTAGTCCCAGCTACCTGGGACGGCTGAGGCAGCGAGGATTGCTTGACCCAGAGTTTGAGGTTGCTGTGAGATAGGCTGACACACCAGGCACTCACTCTAGCCTGGGCAACAGAGCGAGACTCTGTTAAAAAAAAAAAAAAAAAAAAACGAGTAAATGGGAGGGCCAGGGGTGGTGGCTCATGCCTGTAATCCTAGCACCCTGGGAGGCCAAGACAGGAGGATCTCATCAGCCAAGAGTCGTCGAGACAGCCCGAGCAATCAGTGAGACGCCTGTCCCACTAAAAAAAAAAAAAGTAGAGATTAGCTGGACAACTAAAATATATATATAAAGAAACATTGGGCAATGGTGGTACATGCTGAGTTCCAGCCCTTTGGAGGCTGAGGCAAGAGGATGTTGAACAGGAAGTTTTGAGGTTGCTGTGAGCTAGGCGGATACCACAGCACTCTAGCCCGGGCAATAGAGTGAGACTTTGTCTCAAAAAAAAAGAGTAAATGGGAGGATTAAATGAGAACATCATATAAAGTACAGCATCTGGCATATATATAGTGCTAGCACTGAGTAGTGTTAGCTGTTATGGTATTGAGGACCCCAACTGGCCCAGGCTGTAAAGGGGTAAATCCGTCCTCTTGTGTCCTCTGGGGGGCCAGCCCCTCCGCCCTCAATC